TAGAGTCAAGACATTTTTCCTACAAGATCAACAAGAAATGTTAGGTACCCAATCTTTGTTGGATCCTTGAAGGTTAGTGAAAACATAGTAGCATTTGGGTAACCATTGGAAAACACCTTTAGAAACAAAAAAACTCCTAAATTTGCACTTTTCAATAGTATGATCTTTCTTGCAACATTAGTGACAAGTCAAACTATGAAGAGTATTTTACACCATTTCTTATAATGTACCGATTGTACATTTTCACAAACAGTCCCGTTTATTTATCATTTGAATTCTCGTCGTCACTAATATCACTATCACTTTACTCATTTGTTAAGGACCTCGAACTATAAGCCTTTAGAGCAATAAACTTCCTTTCTAGCTCCTTATTCATGCCTTTCTCCTTATTTAACTTTTTCTCATGTTTCTTCTTATGTTTTTTCAAGCAAGTGAGTTCTTGCTCATGTTCTTCAAGCTTACCAAACAATATAGTGAGGTCTAGTGATGTAAGATCATTAGCTTCCTTAATTGTGGTGACCTTTAGTTGTCAATTCTTAGTAAGACACCTCAAAACTTTATTAGTATCAATTTCATTGGAGACTGGTTCCTCAAGTGCATTTAAATTATTAATGAGACGAGAGAACCTCTTTTTCATTTTGGTAATAGTTTTACCATGTTTCATGCGAAATAGTTTGAACTTTTGATTTAGTGTATTAATTCCATCTTGTTTGATCTTATTAGTTCCCTCATGGGAAACTTGCAATGTGTCACACATAGCCTTAGCGGTTTCACAATGAGAAACACGATAAATTCATCAACACCAAGAGCAGATATGAGAATATTTTGTGCTTTCCAATCATAACCCCATTTTTTTATCATCATCGTTCCATTGTGTTTCTGATATATGTGTGACAACACCATTAGAATCGGTCATGGTAATTTGAGTTGGACCGTTGATAATAGCATCCCACACACCCTTATCATATGAATTGATATGAATGTGTATACACGCATTCCAATAGTCATAGTTTTCACATGTGAATATGGGCTTTCTATTGTACGCCCCTTTAGGTTCGGTGGTCATTATTTAATAAGTATTTTTGAAGCACATAATGAACCAGAGTTCTGATACCATTTGTTAGACGATAACAACTTATCTAGAGGGAGTGAATAGATCCCCAAACAGAAACTTAGTATTTAAAATTCTGTTTTGAAATAAAAAAAACTATGGCCAACGGAATATTAAGCCTAGATCGAACAAGTCGTCTAAACCGAACTGACTATTGGAAACTCAGATATGCGTAAATCACAAAATGGAATCAAATACGATGATAATCCTCAATATAATAATTTCCCAATCAATTGTTTTATAATGATCACAATTATTAACCAATTTCCAATAAAGTTATTGATAAATCTAAAACAAGCAAATTATCGAACACTTGACATGCAATCGATTTTTCAGATTTTCACTTTTACTTTGTTTATATGATATACCACTTACAATCTAATTGATTTTAATTTAATCAACAAAACTATATTTAACAATCAAAGGACATGTCTATGCGAATCGATTTCACAATCAATGAATTGATTAATTTGCTATACAAAGTAAATGATATATATATATATATATATATATATATATATATATATATACAGAGAGAGAGAGAGAGAGAGAGAGAGAGAGAGAGAGAGAGAGAGAGAGAGAGAGAGAGAGAGAGAGAGAGAGAGAGAGAGAGAGAGAGAGAGAGAGAGAGAGAGAGAGAGAGAGAGAGAGAGAGAGAACACAAGGATTTGTTTAGAAAGTTCACCAACTGTCCTCATTATGGCTACGTCTGCTCCCAATTTTAAATGGAATTGAGATAATAAATCTTACTTTGCAAAATATTATTTACGGGAGAAATGTAGAAATCGAACCCTACAAACCTCAAGTTTTTTGTTGATCCTAACATTTTTTCTTCCCTTGATCTCATCTTGATCAAGTCACCCAACAAACCAATTTGATCCATCGTTTAGCGCTACTCCTCTGATCGAACCACCGTTTTTAAAAGTTATCACTCGGTCGAATCTAAATTGCAAATTATTGTCACCCGATACTTTCAATTTGGTCCATCGTCTCATGACACTCCTTTGCAAGAACCACAATTCTTCAAATCTTTCACTCGATCGAATCCAAATTGTGAACATATCTTATCCCAAGATTTACCAATTTGTTCCATTGTCTCACGCTACTTCTTTGCAAGAACCACCGTTCTTCAGAACTCTTCACTCGATTGATTTCAACTTGCATAATCTTGTCCAAAACCTTAAAATCCTAATGATCTTGAAGGAAAACCATAACTTTATTTTCTTATTTGAAACCCCAAAAAATTCTCAACCCAATATTAGGTTACACCAACCTAAATAGAAGGGTATCAACACAAGTCTATATGACACCCAAACAATGAATGATTATGTGTACTTTTTTTGTGTATATGCATAAATGAGAGGCTGAATATGATGAGTAATTTTTGTATGTTTTAGTTTCTTCTTGTTGAAAATGATGCATGTATGAAGTATTTATATGTGTGCAAATAAGAGGCAAAAAGGGATGCTTAAAAATTGAAAGGAAATGCAAATTTTCTGAAAAATTACAACATGTGTCGATACATATAAGTCATGTGTCGACACATGTAATGATATGTGTCGATCCTTCCAAGGTCATATGTTGACACATAGACAAAAGCTTTACAGACTTTAAAAATGCACTACATGTGTCGATCTGAAACACGCATGTGTCGACACATAGATAAAAAATTTCAGCATGTGTCAACCTGAAAGGTTGTATGTATCGACACAAAGACAAAGGCTTTACAAACTTCACTATTGATCCACATGTGTCGACTCATATATCGTATATATCGACACATAGACATATTTTTCATGTAAACACTCATTTTTAATGCATTGTGCCTTTTCCAAACGTGTTCTAAGTGCATTCTAAGATCTCTAATGCAAAGGTGCACATAAAAACTCAGAGATATCGTTCAATATACAGAAATGTTAAGTTTATCCTAGTTTTGACATCATACAAAACATCTAATGGGCAAGTGTACTCACACATCATCCTTTAACTGCTCAAGTTTTGATCGGAAAATTCTTGTTAGTAAATCAGGTTGATCTTGTTGAGTTTGACAAAGGCCTAGTTTGGAAGTTATTTGTTGATAATTCTAGTAAGTGTACTAGTCACGTCGAAGTAATAAAATATTTCGTCTCCACAGGAATTGTGAATTTAAACATGGTAATTATAACGTGAATTAAAAATAATAATAAATTGGGGTTTCAATAATGATTAGGCTATGAAAAGAATAACTAAAATATTAACGAATTAAAATTTGATAATGAAAGGAGATTAGATCTTTTATATCAAATCCCCTAATTATATATGTTGATGAACTGTGTACTAATTCAATTGCAATTAATTTATTATCTCACAACGGATTAACACGACCACTGCACTCAATTTCTTAGTGCACAACTCACTAATTTATATAATTATCTAATTTCTTAGGTCAGTTCAAAGTTAAACTAGGGGTTCTACATTAGTTAATTTAAAAGCCACAACTAACAATTATCTATTTCTAGTTAATTATTAAGTTGAATAATTGTCCTAGATCGGATCGTTAGGCTAATGGTCAAAAATTCCTACTCATCTGATATCAATTCATGCATTCCACAGTACATAAAAAGTATTAAGATCAAGAACAATTAAATAACGATAATAACATAAAAGCATCAAATTAATCTCAAACAACCATATGATCCAACAGTTTACTAGTGTCTTTAGTAAATAATAACGAGTTTAGTTCACTTAAGAGATTAATTCGAAAAATCTCAAAGACAATTTGTGGAAAGAAAATATACAATAAAAAATGTGTGTGTTCTGAATTTAAATGTTTGAACAATAAACATCTTGACGTAAACAACAAACTTTAGATAGAGATAGCAAATAATAAATAAATTGCATGACATTTAATGTAAGTGCTTTGAACACAAAAGATTTGCGAAAAGTTTTAAAAGGGGAATGTTGACTCACATTTCTCATAAACGATTTCGCTCTTTAATTTTGATAATTTAGTTCTATAGAGATTAAATGAGATTTTGTGACTTACATTTCTCATAAACGATTTCGCTCTTTAATTTTGATAATTTAGTTCTATAGAGATTAAATGAGATTTTGTGACATAGGTTACGAAGCATGAATATGCTTTATATACTAGTTCTAAATAACCGTCAACGATGATTATTTGTTACATAACCGATGCGTGTCCTACTACGTGGGTCTTCACCCTCTAAAATGTCTTCGCACCTCTTCAAAAATAAAATTGCTAAAAAACCAAATATCGCGGCATTAATAATTTCTTCAAACTTCTCAATTTCCTTTAACTATCTCTGATTTAAATCATTGTATATTTTTAATAAATATAACAAGAATATAATATGATTTGTGGTATGCAATTAAGCATATATAAAATATTAAAAGTTGTTTAATTAATCAAATTTAATTAATAACTATATGAACATTTCATGGTAAGGTCGTGAGTTTCAACTCACAACGCCTCACTTCTTTATTTTTAAATGGCAAACTTTTAATTACTAAATTGATAGAAAAAGAAATTATTTACTGAACGTTAGACTCAAATATAAACAAAATATTTTAAATTAACATATATAAAATGCAACTAGAAGTTTTCATCTTAACTTTTGCTGCTCCTTGTCTTGAGAGAAAATTATTTCAATTGCCACTATAGGACATCCCACTCAACTTTATTCCTCAATATCAAGCATCTTTTTGATGTCTTCAAAGAAAATATAATGTCTACAACATCATTGAAACAAATCCGGAACATTTTTCCTTCTGCAAATTCTGCCTTCCCACCCTACTGCTTCCTGTCAAGCACTCTTGCAACATAGACAGAGACAGTAATTTGAGAGAGAGCAAGGTGAAATAAATTCATTTAAAATCTAAAGATTCATCAATCCTTGGGCATTTTCCGATCAAAGTTAACCGCTGAAAAGCGATCAATTCTCCTCTTGGCACGTTTCATGGAATTCCTAAGATCCACTAACGAGGGAAGAAGCGTAGGAATATTCATTGGCCTGTAATACTTTTTGATATGTTCACTCAAGCCTGGGGATCCAATATTTTTGTAAGACTCGTGAACTCTAGTGTTTTCTTGAACCTCAGATTGTGGATTCTTATTCACATTATGTAAATCTTCCTTTCTTTCTGGTGACCTCTCCCATTTCACTTCAGCAACATCATCTAAACATTCTTGTTTTGCATCACTTGAATCTGTTTGCAAAGGGGCATTAACTGGTAAAATATTGCACCGTACTCGTAAACAGTCGACATCTTGGATACCAAGCCTTGCTCTTCCAAATAACGTGACAGGCGAGCGATTAAGAGTCAACTCTTCCATTGCTTTCACATCAGTGCACTGCTTGATAGGTGATTTAGTTTTTGCACAAGGCTGAGGGTTCCCTTCAAGCACAGGATGACAGTTTACAGGTTTGAAATAGGCATCAACATCGCCAGAAGTTTCCACAGTCATATCCAGAAGCTTCAGCACAGAGTTATTTAGACGGACTTCAGAATTAAAACAGTATTTCTTAACATAATTGAGCTCCATGGCCCTGCAGGGAGGGGTTGTTGAAACAACCCACCTTGGAGCAAGAAGTTGAAGCGCCTCTTCCAATTCTTCCTTGGAAGAGTGCATTGAGTAACAGACATGCCAAACACCAAACTGATCCTTAACTGCTTCATTCATCCTCTTTTTTCTAGTATTTTGAACATCCGAGAGTTCTTCACAAGCATACCACTGAGCAGAAGGGCGCACAATGAGAGGCACAGTCTGGAGAGTTGCCTTGGCCTCAACCAGTTTTGCTTGTGCTCTTTCATATAGTCCTGGAGATCCATCAAATAAATGGAAGCGGGAAGACGGGTCTTCACAAATGATTTCAGGCGCGGTAACCATTAAATTCTTGAAACATTCTGGATTTTGGGCTTTATCAACATATATCTTCGCTCCAAATGTCTGGGACACTTGAACAAGGATGTCTTCCTGTCCGAGGACATCACAGGTAAGATAGACTGTTGACGCATCAGGATGCTTCCATATACAATTAACAACCTGTTTTGTAGTTCCATAAGCTGAACTATCATATTGAGTTAAAGTAATATGCATCTAGTAATACATTGAAAGTTTCAGAAAATGGTAGTACGAAAACAAACAAAAAAACAAGGTTGAAGGGGGTTAAACATGAAGAAGGAATGAAATACATTATTACTACCTTTTTGTCTAGTAGGCTAGTGTCTGGAATTTAAAAACCTAAATGATAAATAAAAAAGATTGAAAAGTTAGTGAACCTGTTGAATAGAGGATCGTTTGGTAGGCATGGGACGAGAGAAATTGGCAAAAGTAGAGTCTAAGAAAACACAATCAAGAGAACATGCTGGCTTTTTTCCTTTCCTCCCTACATAGTTATGAGGTAAACTAAGAAGACATTCAAGACTAAGCCTGCAATCTCCCGTGTGTAAAATATTACCAAATTGGCCTTCAAACAAGAACATCACCGCACCAGGACAGTGATTGGCATCAAAAGCAGTGACGGAGAAGTCTCCATCGGGATCATGTATGATCAATGATTGACCTACTTCGATTAGGTAAAACAGGGAATCATGAAGGAGAGGGTAATGTTGGAGAAGTAGGGTTTTGGTGAGAAGAGTGGAGTAAATAGGGAAAGAGGAATGAGAAGTGATGTTGGAGGAATGGTCTTTGTGAGCGTGTGTCAGGAAATGGTGTCGCTTGCTGCTTTTGGAGGATGGAGTCCATGTGTCTACGGAGAATGGTAAGCCTTGAGGCATTTCGATCGGCATTTTAATGGTTTTAGGTTTTTGGGATGAAATGGAATTGGTCTTGTTCAAAATTGTGTCAGCTTTCCGCGGAAGCTTCACGTAAACCAATCTCATAATTAATAAAGGGTTACTATTTCTTTCGCATCCTATCAAATTTTTTAAATTCTCCGGGTGGTAATTTTAGGCACATAATAGAATTTCTTTTTAAATTATTTTTTTTAAAAAAAAAAATATAAATAATCATATTTTCAAAAAAATTATTAAAGTAATTATTTTTCAAATAAAAAAAAATCGTCACACAGAAGAGACGTCACTCTGTGTGACACATGCATGGAAAAATAGAGATGAGGTGCCACACTGCGTGGCTTGTCCTCTTATATAATGTCATGTAATGTGGCGCATGCATGCAAAGTTAAAGAGGAGGAGTCACTTTGGGTGGTTTGACAGTTGTATATAATTTTCTATAAATGCAACCACCTATTTTCACCATTTTTCACACCATTTCTCACATCACTCTTAGAAAATATCTTCCACTCCCTTGCCAACGTTTTCCATTCCATTACCAAGGTTTTCACTGATCAAAAGAGATATGCATGTTATTTTTCGACGACAAACCCTCCGATGAAGATCAAACTCTGGAACACGCAGACATTCGAGCATTTTCAGAGACATTTGATTTGCTGGTTGGAAGGAGACATTCCTGAAGGTGAACAAATCAGAAAAATAGAAAGACAAATTATAGTGAGGAACGAAAATGGAGAAAGTCGATCATGGAAAAAGGTGAGATGCGACGCTGATGTCATGATGATGATGCTTGGAGTAAGCTGATCATGGAAAAGGTGAGATCCATCTTCTTAGAGAATATCATAGTAGTCTCGTAATAATCGAAAACTCTATCGAGTAAGAAAAAATTGTGAAAGCTCGATGTTACATAATGATATTATTTGTTCACTTTTTATTTCCTAAAACAATAGGTAATACTGTTAATATCATGTATTTATCTTTGTTAAGACATTTTGATAAAATAAACACATATAGTCGGGGCTCTGTTGTTTTGGCCCATCTGTATAGTTCCTTGTGTAAAAACACATCTAACGACCGATGTTCTTTCTATTCTTGCGCCTTTTTGCTCCAGACATGGTGCTGGTCGAGAATGCCGACACTCGGCCCTCGCAACACAAGGCCATTCGTCTTCCCCTTTGCTATAAAGTAAGATTACGACAACACAAATTTTACATATTATATACTATAACCAACATGTATTAATTTATTACCCATTTTTTCTATGTAGGTGGTCTGTTCCTGGGATGAATTACAATAAATCCCCTAGAAACGCAATAGTAGTCTACCGAAATCTTATTGATCATGTTGGACCCGAATAGGTATTAAGCTTACATATTTTATACAACGCTTTCAATATGTTAATTAAGTTTAATATTAATATTAGATTAACACTCTTTTTCCTCTATAGTTTGTATGGAGGTCGTATAAGGATCTCGACCATGAGATTAACTCGGCAGATGCCGAAGTCTGGACTGCAAAAACAACGCTCATCACGTTCACTACTGTGGAGATGTACCACAATGATTGTGTGAAGCTACAGTTCGGTATGCAACAGGGTATCTCAGACCCCCTACATGTTTGAGACAATGACATCTACTCAGAGTTGATGATCAATGGGGATTTAATGATTTGAGAGACTTCGCTAGAAATTAATGTCGTCAATGGAGGCATCGACATGAATTGGTCCTAAGGGAGTCGATCTCGCAAGATGACTTAAAACCAAATCTCCAATATTTGACATGGTACACATCGGTTTCAACAAATTTGTTTCTATCTCATGAGACATATTTGATCGACCCATGCCAAAGAGCTGCATCATACGACCAACAACAACCCCAACATCCAACCCTTCATCAATACCAAACCTAACAACAATGTCAACCCTCTCAAACCCAACAACCATACACCACCACATCCAACCAAACCCTTCATCAATTCATGCCACACGCACAAACACAATACCAAGAGTATGACCCGATCCACCACCAACAATATGCACTCTCCACATCCTACCACAACACCCAAGACACATGTGATACCTCTCCTTCCTACCATACCACCCAACCTACATACAGTCAAACATCACACCATCAAAGTACCCAACCATCATACAATTCAACATCTCAATACTATCAACCACCCCACTCACACATATCTCAACCAACAAGACAAAATTTTAACAACATAGGCATTGATCTCTTTGAAAGCACGTCACAGTGGGGCAAAATGATTGATGAGATATATGATCCTGATGTACCAAGACCATCACATCAAGCACTTCATCATCAAGCGAGTCAGAACAAACCCTAAACACCTCAGGGAATTCAATAGGGAGGAGTGAGGCAAAGGCGGGACCGTTTATGTCATACTGGGACCCGCTTAGGTTGAGGGGGCGTCCGAAAAAATATGTATTTATGCATTTTGTAATTTAAAATATTAATATAAAATATTTTTAATTACTTTTATTTTTAATTTTAAAAAAAAACTAATAAATACAGCTGTCAAGCCACCCAATGTGGTGCCTCCTCTTTAACTTTGCATGCATGCACCACACTGCATGATATTACATAGGAGGACAAGTCATGCAGTGTGGCGCCTCCTCTCTATTTTTCATGTATGTGCCACACAGAGTGGCGCCTCCTCTATGTGGCAAATTTTTTTTGTTTGAAAAATAGTTACTTTGGTAAAAATTTTAAAAATGTGGTTATTTAGTTTTTTTTTTTAAAAGTGGTTATTTAGAAAAAATTCCACATACTACCTCTGTTTTTAATTATAAGACATTTTTGAGTTTTTTCTTGTCCATTTCTATAAGATCCTCTTCAAATTTCAAAGTAAATTAATGATTTTTTTTTCCAAACTTACCCTTAATTATAGTACATACTTTTCTACAATCTATAATAAATAGTTACATACACATCTAATATACAACTATAGAAACAAAAGTACCTAGAAATGCCAATTTTATCCCACTTAAAAAAAATCTACTTTAACTTATTACAAAGGACAAACATGACTTTATACTAATCTACTATCACCACATTCATCGGGCATTTATTTCATCTGATATGGCATCACACCAATTTTTGTTACATTATTTTTTTTATTTTTTAACCAATATTTTAATAAACCAAAATAAACCTAATAATGAACATTATGCCAATTTACAAGATTTTGTTTATTTTTTAACCAATGTTTTAATAAACCAATATAAACCTAATAATGAGTATTATGCCAATTAGTTGGAAATGTAAACTTATTGGGGAATCTGAAAGGTCTCTTGAAGAGACCAAACTTTTTACAATTTTCCAACAACCTTGAGTAATTGGGTACCCAAAAGATGCTATTAAAGAATGCCTATCAAGTGTCACAAATCAAACCCTGAAGAATTTCAACGGTCTCTTCCTATTTCTTCTCTTCATATTTCATTTTCCATAATGTTGTTGTTGTCATTTTCTTAACTCAATCAACATATACGTGATATTAACTAACTGTTGATCCGTTTGATAATATAGAAAACAGATATTCACGGTATGGCTCGCCCTGTTGAAGCTGTGAAGGACATCAATGATTCAAATGACTTATGGAAGATAGCCGTCAGGTGTAAACATCTGTGGACTGTCATCAGTGCTTCAAACAAAGAACACTTGGAGATGATTTTGGTTGATTCAAAGGTAATATCTTTTGTTCACTTATGTTGCAAATTTCTTCACATTTGTTGTTGTTGTCTAATAAATCTAAATCTGTTGTATGCAACTCGATATGATTCAAGTTATTGTACCTCCTTATTTGGTTCCAAAATTTACGATGCAACTTGCAGTTGGATGTTCTTACATCATGCAAAATTTTAAGGTCTCCAACAATGATTTCACTTTTAGGTCTACTAAGAATAGGTTCAAATTGATTTTCTGTGGATCTACTTCAGTGAAAAAAACCGAACTTTCTGTCATTCTGTTGAACTATTTTAACATACTTGGATTGGATGCAATAGTTGATGGGAAATTTGAGTCAAATCTTTTGGTTGGTGAGTTAAACACATTTGTTAATTTGTTTTATATGTAGATTTGTTAATAGTAATCACATAATTTGAATTTAATCCTCAAATTTCTTTATAGATATTATTGGAGGAGTTACTGAGATAACTCAATCACAGATAATTGCTGCTAACAACAAGAGCAAATTTGTATTTACATTGACTTACTTGAGGTGTGTTGAATGTACTTTGATCTTCGCAGTACAATGTACCTTTAATTAAAATGTTTACTAACAATGTTTGTTGGTGCAACAAAAATCTTATACAGTGTACTTTGTGGGGAAAACTTGCTGTACAATTTTACCAATATTATATGAATCATAAGGATGATGGAAATATTGTTATTCTACTTATTAATGCAAGGATTAACGAACCTCAAGTTAATACATATAAATTTGAGTCAAATCTACATTTTCATTTTTCACTTCTTGATTTATACAAAGGAATTTTGAAATGTTAAGTTTGTTTATATCTTACTATGCCTTATTTTTGGTACATTGCAGGAGGTTATCCGTTGAACGTTTCCAATTCATGGAATGGAACAAAACTGTTGATTAATGATGTCACTGTGATACGGTGGGAGAACTGACTTGAGGTTTTGCGTTTGTTTTCGCAAATGTTTCGGTTGAGCAAGAGTCGCCACCGACTTTTTATTTTATCCTAAGGAAAGGTTAAAAAGCACAGGAAAAACCTTTGAGATGTTTTCTTGGGTTCGGGGAGTAGATTATAGAAAGGGAAGGTATTAGAACCCTTTCTATCCATGGTTATCCATGGGATCTTAGTTACTTGCTTAGATCATTTGCCTTTACTTTTCAATTGTTTGAAATGGTGCTTTGTGTGTGATTTTGAAAGAGGTTTTGAAAAGAGGCCATTTGTTGTGACAACCTTTATAATGATCCATGTTTGAATGTATACAAAGGTGTATTTG